GCGCGTGGGGACACGCGGGGGGCCACGGGGGTGCAGAAGGGTGCAGGACCCGGCTGAGCCGCTGGCCCCGCTCCCAGCCGCTTCCCGGTTTATCCGCTATCCCGGAGCGCGCGCAATCGCTCCGGGAAGCCGTCGGAAAGCTCCTCCGAGCCCCATTCCAACGCACCCCCGCGGGACGGGGCGGCTCCAGGGGTCACCGCGGAGCATCCCGCTTTTCCCCGGGAACACGGGGCCGCTCCGAGGGCAGCTCCCGCCAGCCAGGCAGCATATGCCCTGGAACAAAGCACAGCCCCGGCAGCAGCAGCGCTTCATTAAAGCGTGGTCGGCAGCCAAGGCTCCGGAGCGGGCGCGGAGCGCGGCGCTTCCGACGGCTCCGCTCCGTGCCAGGCGGCAGCAGGCGCCCGCTCAGCCCTGGCCTTGCTGGCAATTAGCTGCAATTAGCCTCCTTGGTCAGATTAGCCCTAGATGCCGGGGTTGGAAGCGAGTCTTGCAGTCACCTGCTCCCACTTCCACCAGCACGGACAGGGGCCCGGTGTGTTTTCCAGGGAGGCTCTTTGCCAGCCGAAGGGTTTTCCTGGAGAGATTCCCTGGAGTTCATGTGTCTCGGGCAAAGGGAATGTGCTTTGTGGACTGACCCGTCCTGCCCGGGCCAGGGGAGAGCGTGAAACCTCAGCGGAATCGTGGCTCTTGTGCCACACACGTTAAGGAACCGATTCAGAAAGGCTCTTACCTTTAAAATAAAGGTCTTGCCATGGAAAGGTATCTCAAAAGTGTAAACAACATCCCCGAACTCCTGTGTAAGAAACGAGAGGGTTACATTTAGGTTGGCAAAATAAAATTAATCGTTTCTCCTGCTGGTCTCCAAGCCCTGTCATTCCCAAGGCCCATCCCAAGGGAGTCCCGATACCGGAGCTGCTCTCGACACGTTTCAGACGCACGGGCACAGATTTCCATAAACAAAACGACACCCGGAGAGGCAGCAACGTGATGAGACAGGGATAGAATCCATCTCGTGCCAGCCACAAACCCCGTTTCAAGGTCAAACTCTCTTTGTAGCCGTAGGAGCGAGGGGACAATTTGCCAGCGCGGCTGTTGCCACCTACGTCCCAGAAGAGCCTCCTCGGAGGCTGGACACACGATAACCTTTCATCATTAGCCCGTGTTAAACTCCCATTAGTCTATTTAAATCCATCCCCCTTCGGATAAAGAAAACAATCTGCCCAGCTAGTTTGGCACCAAACAATGGATCACTTGACAGGGGAATTTTGAACGCCAGATGAGACTGCAGTTTGCAGGACTCTCGGCTCGATCACGCTGGGAGCAGCGAGGAAGGGGGCACAGGGGCTGCTCCCTTCTCCCCAGCTTCCAGAAAGAGGGAAAACTCCCCCAAAATCCCAGCGGCGGCTCCGGAGGAGCGCGGGCAGGGCCTGCTTTGCTCCGTGCACCTCGGTGCCTTTGGAAGCAGGAGGTGACAGTGGGAGGGACGTGTCCCCATTGACACTCCACAAGGGCCATTCCCGGGAAAGGGGACACGCGAGTGGCTCTGTGGGACGGAGCCAACGGGAGGAACAGCCTGTGCCCTGCACGCTCCCACGCGGAGCCGAGCGGGATAAAAAGGCCGGATCCCAACGCGGCCGGAGCCTCCGCAGAGCTCGGCGCATCCGACGCTTCCCGGTGCGGAGCAGGGCCCTCCGGAGAGAACTGCCCGGCCCTGCTGTGCACGGGCCCTCTCCTGTCGAGCAGGAGGGTAATTAAACGTCTAATTAAATAAGAGGGCATTTTACATTTAACTGAACTGGAAGAGATTCCTAATTCAATCAGGTAATTGTAACGCTTGTTAATTTTTCATGGCGCAAGGAGGTTTCCAAAGCCCCATTTGTCCTCCTGTTTTCCGTGGGCAGCGGGGGACACTTGCATTGTTTTTCTCGAACTTCCAGTTCTCCTCCTGGGCTAGGATTTGGTCCACAACTTCCATCGCTTCTTTTCCTTGCCGGACATATTCTTTCTCCTAGGAGAGAAGGGAGAATTTCACTGGCTGGGTTCACTGCAAGCCTGGAAATGGGCAAGAGCAGGGGAAAGAGCAGGGCTGGCAGAGGGAAAAGGGATAACTCCCGTCACCACGCTGCAGAAATTGCTTAATTCGGGTCACAAAGGGCTCGTTTTTGGAGTTGAAGCCACATTCCCTGCTCTGGCTGGGATCCACACACCAGCTGTGCCCAGCGGCGCGTCCTGCCTTCGTGCAGGGGGTTCCAGGACAAGGGATACGGGATGCGCGGAGCTTCCTTCTGTTCCAGAGCTGTGGAGCAGCAGAAGCACTTGGAAAACTGCACAAAGGAGCCCGTGGCCAGGCAGGGCTTGGGGCGGTGACGGGCTGGCAAAAGCCTCGCTGGGAATGATGATTCCCCTTTAGGTTGTGACCGCATGGCCAGGAATCGCGGAGGGAAGGGGAGGAGAAGGCAGGCAGGAGATGGAGCGGGAATCGCGTTTCCGTGGGATGCTGCAGGCCCAAGGCCCTGGGCGTGTGGATTAAGGCTCCCAAATGGCCCTGCCTGCTGTGGCTACCACTAGCCCTGGGTGTGGGGGGAAGAGCCACGTGCGGAGGGTCAAGATGGGGCACGTCAGCCAGATTCCCTTAGGACAAAAGGGACAAGGACGTCGGCCCTTGGAGCGGGGCCACGGGGTGGCTGGGCTCCCTCCCGGGCCAGCACGGGCCCCGCTGGGCTCTTTACCTGGGCTGTCAGGGCCTTCCTCGCTGCGCCTTCCTCATCCGACTCGTCCGACCCTAGCAGAAACACCCCGTTAATCACAGAATCATGGAATCATGGAATCATGGAATGCTCAAGGTTGGCAGGGACCTCTAGGGATCATCTAGTCACACGCAGGGTCACCTAGAGCACGTGGCACAGGGCTGCGTCCAAGCGGGTTTGAAGATCTCCAGAGAAGGAGACTCCACAACCTCTCTGGGCAGCCTGTTCCAGTGCTCTG